AGTTTGGTTAAAACTGCTTGAAAAACTAGACAAATGATCATCCCCAAGATCCACTCGAACTACTTTAAAAAACCAGACACAAGGGATCTTCGAGATTCTTATTAAAATATTTCAAAAACCAGACACAAGGGGTCCCCGAGATTCTTTTACATTACTTCAAAAACAAAAGACAAGAGATCCTCGAGATTCTTTCAAACTACTTCAAAAACCAGACACAAGAGGGCTCCGAGAATCTTTCAAACCACTTTAGAAACCGGAGGCAAGAGGTCCCGAGTTTCTTTAAAACTATTTCAAAAACCAGACAAGTGCTCCCCAAGATCCTTTCAAATTACTTCAAAAACCAGACACAAAGGGCCCCCAATATTCTTTCATACTACTTTAAAAACCAGACACAAAGGGTCCCTGAGATTCTTTTAAATTACTTCAAAAAGAAGACACAAGAGATTCCTGAGATTTTTTCAAATTACTTCAACAGCTAAACAAAGGAATCTCCAAAGATTCTTTCAAACTACTTCAAAAACAAAACAAAAAATCTTCAAGGCTTTTTCAAATTCCTCAAGATTCAAGCTACTTCAAAAATTAAAACGAAGGAGATTCTCAAGATTTTTTTTAAACTACTTCAAAAATCGGGCACAAGGGATCTCGAAGAATATTTTAAAAACCAGTCACGAGAGGCCCTCGAGATTCTTTCAAACTACTTTACAAATTAGGTAGAAGTGGTGTCTGCAATTCTTTCAAATTACTTCAAAAACCAGGCAGAAGGGGTCCCAGAGATCCTTAAAATTACTTCAAAAACTTAACACAAGGAGTCTCCGAGATTCTTTCAAACTACTTAAAAAACAAAGCGCAAGTGATCCCCGAGATTCTTTCAAATTACTTCAAAAACTAGACAAGGGCTCCTCAAAGATTCTTTCAAACTACTTTAAAAACAAAATACACGGTGTTCCCGAGATTTTTTCGAAGTAGTTCAAAAACAATACAAAAGATCCTCCAGATTACCGGAAAATGGAACAATCGAAATCGAAATTTCGAGCAATCGAAACATCAAATAATGAAAAATTAAAAAAAAAAGCGAAAAATTGAAAAATAGAAAAATCGAAAAATTGAAGAATTGGAAAATCTTGAAAAATGGCCATATTGAAAACTCGAAAAATTAGAAAATCCAAAATTCGAAAAATCAGAGTCGAAAAATTGAAATTTTAAGAAAACAAAAAATTGAAAAATCAAAAAATTGGTAAATCGAAAAATTGAAGAATTAAAAACTGAAAAATCGATAAATCAAAACATCGAAAACTCTAGAAATCGAGGAATGGGAAAATCAAAAAATTGAAAAATCGGTTAATCGAGAATTCGAAAAATTGACACAAATCGAAAAACTGAAGAATCGAAAATTTGAAGAATAAAAAATGAAAAAATCTCTAAAGCTGAAATGTCGTAATATGAAATGGAAAAAAAATTGGGAAGTCTAAAATTTGAAAAATCGGGATATTGAAGAATTGAAAAGTCCCAAAACTGATGTATTGAAAAATTGAGTACTTCAAAAACAAAATACACGGAGTCCCCAAGATTTTTTCGAACTACTTCAAAATAAAACACGAGATTCCCGAGATTCTTTCAAATTACTTCAAAAACCAGACACAAGAAGTCCCCGAAATTCTTTCAAACTACTCCAAAAACCAGGCACAAGGTTTCCCCGAGATTCTTTTAAACTATGTACTTCAAAAACTAAGCATGAAATTATTTCAGATTACTTCAAAACGAAAACAGAAGGGGTCTCCGAGATTCATTTGTTAAACTACTTCAAAAACAAAACACAAGAGATCCTTGAATTTCTTTCAAATTACTTCAAAAACTAGACAAGGGATTCCCAAAGATTCTTTCAAATTATGTACTTGATGGGTCCCTGAGATTCTTTCAAACTACTTCAAAAACCAGACACAAGAGGTCACCGAGAGTTTTTCAAATCACTTCAAAAATCAGGGACAAGCGGTCACCGAGTTTATTTAAAACTACTTGAAAAACTAGACAAGTGATGCCCAAGATACATTCGAACTACTTCAAAAACCAGACACAAGGCGTCCTCGAGATTCTTTTACATTACTTCAAAAATGAAAGACAAGTGATCCCCGAGATTCTTCAAAAACCAGGTAGAGGAAGTCCCCGAATTTTTTTCAAACTACTTCAAAAATCAGACACAAGTTTTCTCTGAGGTTCTTTCGAGCTACTTTAAAACGAAAACAGAGGAGATCTCCGAAATTCTTTCAAATTATTTCAAGACTAAAATAAAAGGATCTTCAAGGTTCAATTCAAATTGCTTAAAAAACAACACAAATGATCCTAAGCATTCAAACTACTTCAAAAATCAAAACAAAAGAGATCCTCAAGATTTTTTTAAACTACTTAAAAAAATCAGGCACAAGGGATTTTCAAGAATATTTTAAAAACCAAATACAAGAGATCTCCGAGATTCTTTAAAACTACTTCAAAAACTAGACAAAGGATCCCCAAGATTCTTTTAAACTACTTTAAAAACCAGCCACACTACTTCAAAAGCAGAACAAAAGGGGTCCCCGAGATTCTATCAAACTACTTCAAAAATTAGATAAGAGATCCCCAAAGATTCTTTAACCAACGGGAAAAAATTCTTTTCCAACAATCGAAAAACTCAAAAATGGAACATTGAGAAATCCAGAAATGAAAAAATTTTAATACTAGAAATATTGAAAAATCGACACAATGAAAAATCGAAATCCGAAAAATCGAAAGATCGAGCAATTGGAACATGAATATATCGAAAAAGTAAAAAATTCAGAAATATAAAAAATCATGAAAATTTGAAAAATCGAAAAATGGAAAAATGGATAAACTGAAAAATCTTAAATTTTAAAAATCGAAAATTCGAAAAGCCGAAAAATCGAAAAATTGAATAATTGAGAAATTGAAACATCGAGAAAATAAAAAAAAATTGAAACATTTTAAATAAAAAAAAATGCGAAAAATTGAAAAATAGACAAATCCAAAAAAAATGAAAAATCGAAAAATTGAAGAATTGTAAATTTTTGAAAAATGCCAAAACTGAAATATCGAAAAATTGGAAAAATTACATAATTCCAAAGCAGAAACATGGAAAAATTGGAAAATCCAAAATTCGAAAAATCAGAGTCGAAAAATCGAAAAACTGAAACATTAATATATCTGAAAATTGAAAAAACAAAAACCTGAAAAATAAAAAAATTGATATATCGAAAAACTGAGAAATTGCAAACTGAAAAATCGCTAAATTAAAACATCAGAAACTCGAGAAATCGAGGAATGGGAAAATCAAAAAATCGAAAAATCGATTAATCGAGAATTTGAAAAATTGAAAAATCGAAAAACTGAAGAATCGAAAACTTGAAGAATCAAAAATGGAAAAATCTTAAAACTGAAATGTGGCAATATCATGAAATCGAAAAAAAAATTGAGAAATCAAAAATTTAAAAAATCGGGAAATTGAAGAATTGAAAAATCCCAAAACTGAAGTATTGAAAAATTGAGTAATCGCAAAATTGAATATCGAGAAATTGAAAGATTGAAAAATCGAAAAATTAAGAAATAGATAAACTGAAAATTCCAAAACTGCTATGTTGAAAAACTGAAAAAACGGAACATCGAAAAATTGGAAAATCCTAAATTCTAAAAATCGAAAAGCCAAAAGATTGGTAAATCAAAATATAGAAGAACATTTTAAAAACCAGACACAAGAGGTCCCCGAGATTCTTTCAAACCACCTTAGATAACAATTTTTTGGGTAACTAGATTACAAATCAAAAAATTCACTCGGTATAATAAAGTCGGAAGACCTACTTTTCCAGACTCGAAAAGCTTAAAACGTCGTCGAAAAACGAAATGAACTCTACTCTCTACGATTTGTTGAATTTGAAGTGATGCATTTTGTCTTTGTGTGTTTTTTTGTTGTTGTTTTTGAACTAATAATAACCTAATTAATACATATTTAAAGTGCCTCTTCTATGAGGATCAAACATTGTTAGAAGTTGCGCCAATTTGGCACATTTTGGTTTTCACGCTCAGTAAAAAATAAAACATTCATTGTTTGTTTATTAATAAAACGTGGCGGTAATTACAAAGATTGTTTCACCTCGGTTTTGATAATCAGATTACTTAAACTAAGCGAAGGAAGTTGTAATCAAGTCCAGTCTGTCGTCTGTCTATCTGTGTCGATTTTTATTAAACAGATAGTCTCTAAAACTACTGGACCGATTCTTGTCAATTGTAGGTGTATATATATGGAATATCATGGAGATGGTACCTAACCTGACCTGACTTGACTTGATTTGACCAAATAATATAAAATAATAATCTATTGCGTAATTGTGTGGGGATAAATAGATTCTTAAATTAGGTGAACCTTTTCGACCTGCTCCTAACAGTTAATATATTTGAGATGACGTCACCAACTTTCTGGAGAGAATAGACAAATAAAATGAAAGTTGATATTCTATAGTCACTAAATCATCGTCTTATCACATTTTCAAGGATCGTTGTCAGTAGTGCGTTTCATAAATTATCCCAGTTGTTTGCATAAATTTACCTTTTTAAAAATAACACGCATACAAAGAGCTTAAAATACGATGCTCACTTCAGAATAGATTTACGTGAGTGGAGGATGGGACGTGTTGTAGTTGGTGTTCGGTTAGTGAAAACAACCGCATAAAAATTTCAAAGTGACGATTCGGAAGTTGCAAGTGTTTTTGAACAGGCTGTGAAATATCAAGAAAAATGAAATCAGACAATTTTCAATCAGTGTATTTTACCTCTGATGAAGAGTTGGCGAACGTTATCTTCCGGCCATTTCGGTGTAGCAGCTGCCTTAAGTCGATATAAAACATGGTAGCTACTTAACTATTTATATTATATATTGTTGTACATCTATATTACAACTCCATCTATTCGGTAAACTGCTATATAGCATACTAACTATTCGATCTTTTTTTTTCCAGACTGACAGTGAGGTGGCATGCGAAGAAGCGGCGCGCCTGACCGCCGAGCAGGAGGAAGCCGACGACGATGGACTATCCTACTGCGACTACCACGACCTGCCGCCCCCGCCCGACGGCGGCTACGGGTGGGTCGTGGTGTTCGCGTCGTTCATGTGCAACATGATAGTGGACGGCATCGCGTACACTTTCGGCATATTCCTCAGCCAGATGGTCGACTATTACGGTGAAACGAAGGGAAAGACGGCCTGGGTCGGCTCCCTCTTATCGGGGATGTACCTTAGTGTGGGCCCTCTAGTGAGCGCCCTTACCAACAAGTTCGGTTGTCGTGCGGTGTGCATTGCCGGTAGTTTGATCTCAACAACAGCCTTCTTCCTCTCGAGGTATTGTCCAACCGTGAACTGGCTGATGCTGATATACGGGTTCGTGGGTGGGATCGGCTTCGGCCTGATCTACCTCCCGGCAGTGGTGTGCGTGGGGTACTACTTCGAGACGAAGAGGTCTTTGGCCACGGGGATCGCGGTGTGCGGTTCTGGTGTCGGGACGTTCGCGTTCGCCCCCCTGGCCACGGTACTGCTCGAGGAGTACGGCTGGAGGGGCGCCAACCTCATCCTAGCGGGGCTGATTCTGAACTGCGTCATCTTCGGGGCGCTGATGCGGCCCCTGGAGTACCCGAAGGAGTCCAACACGCAGCCGCTGCTGCAGCGGATGGCGGAAGAGAGGAGGATCCAGATGGAGAGGGGCAGCATCGGGGGATCCTACTTTATGGTATGGTCACTGAGTAGATAGGAAAATGGCGAATGACGTTCTAGCGGACGTCTACACATTTACACACAATGCTTCATTAGCTTCGTTGTCCAGCAGCACTTGAATCGACTACAAGAGAACGATACTCAAAGAGGCGGAAATTCAGTTTGCGAACATTTTTCTGTAAGATTCATGTTTCTTCGTGCGTTTTTCTTCTTAGGAACCTACTTCTTTTTTTCTTGCGTCTTTACTGATTCTTCTACCATGTCATGGTTTCGCGGACTTCCTTCAAAAACTACTGTCTCGTTAGAACTTCATGGTCAATTATCTCTTATTTCCTTCATTAGGTTTTTTCGTTATTTAAACCCTGATTTTCCATTTAGCCAAGACAGTGAAGTCCAAAATTATATATTTGTTTTTGCACCAGTTTCTTGCAGTGTTTTGATACATTTATTAACATTGCCAGATCCTGTTTTTCCAGCTTGCAATTTACGTTCTCTTTCATCTTAATTATCCACAAATAAAAAGAAACATAAATGTCGGTATATGTTATACGTAAACGTCTTTGCGCTTTCGTGTGAATACAGTTTTCATAAATTTTATTGAAAATCACCAGAGTGTTTCCTGTTTTTATTTTGCTCGTGGACTCCTTGTGACATTTCGTATCGTCTGATTTCACTGTTCTTATTTTTCTATTATTTAATTTTAGGTTCCTGCATCCTCTTCTTCAAAAATGAAATGTCTCAGTTTCTTCTATCTCTATTCTTTCTTTTTTATACCTTTGTCGTAGAATATATATGTATTCCATTTTGTAAATACGTTCTGTTGATAATATCCTTCATGTTTTTTCTCAATTTCTTCTCGTTTATTCTTTTTGCCATGCTTTACTTGATTTTAAATAAATCATTTTAGGTCGGTTTTCTTGTGCCTTCTTCTTCTACCCGTGTTACTAATGAATTATACCTACCTTTGATTTTATACCTTGGAAACACTGCACCTTTCTGAAATGCTTCTTTCTTTGAGCTGACCACCAGAACATTGTCCACCACACTACTCCCCTCTTAATTGTAAATTGGATTATCACAACCACAATATTTCTTCTCTTTCTGCCTTTTGCACCCAGTATTCTTCTCAAGTGAATATTTTAGAACTCTTATCAATTCTTCGTCCATTGGCTTCCCGTTTTAACACCATGAAATCAAAATCTTGTTGTTGTTAAATCTTTACTCGTTTCCGTTTTCATATTGAAAATGGACTTGGTTGCATTATTTCGTCTAGTTCTACATCTTTTGGTCTAGTACTTGATCAAAACCATCAAACCATCACAACCATGTAACTACAACGCATTTCTTGCGTTCGTCCCCAAATCTGGACCGTTGACTTCCCACTGTTTATTCCATTTTCAATCAAAAAAACATCAAGAAAAACATCTTGTGGTATTTATCTCTAACTATTGTCCCAGATCCACTAGTCTTTGATCTCTACTCGATAAATTTGGGTCAAGACATGTTCGATATTCTTCTGTCCATTTATCCTTACCATTATAGACGGTGTCTTCTTCATTTCCACGCAAAACTTCCGCTTCAAATATTTTTCCTTTTCTTCTTTTTGACAATTTTTCCGTGTTTTTGCGAGTCCCTTCGAATTTGTTTCCAGAAGATCGGATAACTTGTTAAGTCTTTTTTTGTACTATTAATCACCCGACTTGTTTTATCTGACTTGACTTGTCCAGCTCTGACCCGAGCAGACAACTGATTTAACCGTATTTGTCCTTTTTTTGAATCTTTTCAAAATTTTTCCCAGAAGATCTGATACCTTGTTGAGCGACTTGTCCTGATCTGACCTGTCCTGACTTGACTTATTTAGATCTGACCCGACCTGACCTCTTCTGATTTGACTTGTGTAGACCTGTGTTGTCCAGACTTGGCTTGTCCGGATTTGGCTTGACCAGACCTGACTTGTTCAGACCTTTTCTGCCTTGATTGGACCTTATCATCAACTTAAATCTGTCCGGACTTTTTGTGAGTTACTTCGAAAATTTTCCCAAAAAATCTGGTACCTTGTTCCTTTGTACTATTAATCACCCAATTCTTCCATTGACGTAACTTGTCCTGACCCTTGACCTGACCTGATATGACCTAAATAAAAATTTTCCGTGTTTTTGCTAGTCCTTTCAAATTTTTTTCCAGGAGATCTGATATCTTGTTAAGTCTTTCTTTGCACTATTGATAACCTGACTTGACTTGTCTAGCTCTGTAGCTGTATTTGTCCTTTTTTTGAGTCTTCAAAATTTTTCCGAAGATCTGATACCTTGTGACTTGGCTTGATCTGACATGTCTTGACTTGACTTGTCTAGATCTGACCTGACTTGTAGACCTAGGTTGTCCAGACTTGGCGTGTCCAGATTTGGCATGACTAGCCCTGACTTGTTTAGACTGATCTGACTTGATTGGACCATATCATCAACTTAAATTTGTCCGGGTTTTTTGTGAATCATTTCGAAAGTTATCCCAAAAGATCTGGTACCTTGTTAAGTTCTCCTTTGTACTATTAATCAACCAATTCTTCTATTAACGTGACTTGTCTAGGCATGACCTGACCTGCCTTGTCTAAACCTGACCATTGACCTGACCTGATTTGACCTAACTAAAATTTTTCCTTGTTTTTGCGAGTCCCTTCAATTTTTTTTCCAGGAAATTTGATATCTTGTTAAGTCTTTCTTTATACTATTAATCACCTGACTGGTATTGATCTGACTTGACTTGTCCAGCTCTAACCCGAACAAAATTGACCTGTCCTGTTTGAACCCTATTTGTCCCTTTTTTGAGTCTTGTCAAAATTTTTCCCAGAAGATCTGATACCTTATTAAGTGACTTGTCTTGACCTGACCTGTCCTGACTTATCTAGATCTGACTCGACCTAGCCTGACTTGTGTCGACCTGGGTTGTCCAGATTTTGCTAGATCAGACCTGACTTGTTCAGACTTCATCTGAATTAATTGGACCACATCAACTTAAATTTGTCCGGGTTTTTTGTGAGTCAATACGAAAATTTTCCCAAATTTTTCTTGTTAAGTCCTCCTTTATATGATTAATCAACCAATTTTTCTATTGACGTGACTTGCCCAGGCCTGACCTGACCTGCTTTGTCAAAACCTGACCCTGAGCAGATTTGACCTAACTAAAATTTTTCTTTGTTTTTGCGAGTCCTTCAAAATTTTTCCCAAAATATCTGATACCTTTTTACGTCTTTCTTTGTACTATTTATCACTTAATTCTTTCTCTGACGTGACTTGTCCTGACCTGACCTGACTTGTTCAGACCTCATCTGACTTGATTGGACCATATCATCAACTTAAATTCGTTCGGGCTTTTTGTGAGTCACTTCGAGAAATTTCCCAAAAGATGTCTCACCAGCTCAGCCTCTCAACCAATCAGCAAACGAGATTTTATCGCTATCGAGTTTTTTTCGATCGAGAAACAAAATCCCACCGCAGGTACCTTGTTAAATATTTTTCCTTGTTTTTGAGAGTCCCTTCAATTTTTTTTCCAGGATATCTGATGTCTTTTTAAGTTCTTCTTTATACTATTAATCACCTGACTTGTCTTGATCTGAGTTGACTTGTCCAGCCCCCACCCGAGCAAAACTGGCCTGTCCTTTTTTAACTTGTATCTGTCCTTTTTTTGAGTCTTTTCAAAATTTTTCCCAAAAGATCTGATACCTTGTTAAGTGACTTGTCTTGATCTGACGTGATTTATCTGTATTGGACCCGATCTAACCTGACTTATGGAGACCTGGGTTGTCCAAACTTGGCTAGTCCAGGTTTGGCTTAATCAGACCTGACTTGTTCAGACCCAATTCTTCTATTGATGTGACTTGTCCTGACCTGACCTGACTTGACATAACTAAAATTTTTGTTTTTGCGAGTCTTTCAAAAATTTTTCCACAAGATCTGATACCTTTTTAAGTCTTTTTTGTACTATTAATCATCTTTCTTTAAAGTGGCTTGTCCTGATCTGACCTGACTTGACCTATCCAGACCTGACCTATGCTTATTTGACCGTAGGATTAACTTAAATTTGTGCGTTTTTTTTTTTTCAAGTTTAAAATTTTTCCCAGATCTGATACCTTTGTTACGTGATTTGTCCTGATTTGACCTGACTTAATTTGATCAGGTTAGACCTGACCTGACTTGACTTAACCTGGCCTGACTGAGCGGACTTGACTTGTCCATAGTTGACCCGACCAATCCTGCCTTACCTGATTTGACTTTATGATCAACTTAAATCTGTCCGTTTCTTTTGTGAATCCTTTCAAAATTTTTCATAGAACATCTAATACCTTTTGACGTGATTTCCTGATCTGATCTGACCTGGCTTGACTTATCCAGACCTGACGCGACCTGACCTGACCTGACCTGATTTGACCCAAGTTGCCTAGTTTTGGCAGGACCTGATTTGGTCAACTTAAATTTGTTTGAATTTTTGTGAGCCCCTTCAAAATTTCTCCCAGATCTGATACCTTGTAAGTCCTCTTTTGTTCCATTAATCACCTAATTCTTCCTTTGACGTGACTTGTCCCGACCTAACCTCACTTGTCCTGATCTGATTAGACCTTACCTAACCTGACATGGCCTGATTTCCAGACCCTATGATCAACTTAAATTTGTCCGTTTTTTTGAGTCCCTTCAAAATTTTTCCCAGAAGATCTGATACCTAATTCTTCCCTTGATGTGACTTTTCCCGACCTAACTTGACTTGTCCTAATCTGACCTGACATGGCCTGACCGTACGTTTAAAAGTCCCTTCAAATTTTTTTCCAGAAGATCCTTCTTTGCACTATTAATCATCTGACTTGACTTGTCCAGCTCTGACCCGTTGTAATTTAACCGTATTTGTCCTTTATTTTGAGTCTTTTCAAAATTTTTGCCAGAAGATTTGATACCTTGTTTAGTGACTTGTCTTGACCTGACCTGACCTGACCTGTCCTGACTTGATTTATCTACATCTGACCCGACCTGATCTGACTTGTGTAGACCTAGGTTGTCTAGGTTTGGCTAGTCCAGATTTGGCTTGATCAGACCTGATTTGTTCAGACGTCGTCTGACTTGATTGGACCATATCTTCAACTTAAAGATGTCCTTTTTGTGGGCCACTTCGAATATTTTCCCAAAAGATCTGGTACTTTGTTAAGTCCTCCTTTGTTCTATTAATCACCCAATTCTAGACAAGGCCTGACCTGACCTGCCTTGTCTAGACCCGACCTTAACCTAACTAAAATTTTTGTGCTTTTGTGAGTCCTTCAAAATTTTTTCCAAAAGATCTGATACCTTATTAAGTCTTTTTTTGTACTATTACTTAATTCTTTCTTTGACATGACTTGTCCTGATCTGACCTGACTTGACTTATCCAGACCTGACCTATGCTGATTTGACCGTAGGATTAACTTAAATTTGTCCGTTTTTTGCGAGTCCGTTCAAAATTTTTCCCAGATCTGATACCTTTTTTAAGTGATTTGTCCTGGACTGACTGGACCTAACCTGACTTGACTTTTGCAGACTTGACCCGACCAATCCTGCCTGACCTGATTTGACTTTATCATCGACTTAAATTTGTCCGTTTTTTCCTTTCAAAATTTGTCAAAGAACATCTAATACCTTGTTAGTCCCCCTTTGTATTAGTCACATAATTCTTCCTTGGACGTGATCCCCCCCCCCCTATCGTGTTAGCATTACTTCTGGGGCGTGGTTGGTCGTCAATTTCTCCTTCTTTCACCATTTTTTGCCTTTTTTCCTTCACTTCCTTCATCTTTTATCAAGGCGTGACTCCACCTAACCTGACTTGACCCGACTTGTCCAGACATGACCTGAATTGATTGAACCGTATTATCAACGGTTTTATACGAGTCCTTTGAAAATTTTTCCCGCAGTATCTAATACCTTGTTAGGTCCTCTTTTGAACTATTAATTATGTAATTCTTCTTTTGACCTGACTTTTCCTGATCTGACCTGACTTGTCTTGATCTGATCTGACCTGACGTGTCTTGATCTGATCTGACCTGACTTGTAGACCTGATCTGCCTGACTTGTCTAGACCTGACCTGAACTGATTTGACGTATGACAAACTAAAATTTTTCCGTGTTTTGTCGGTCCCTTCAATTTTTTTCTGGGACTGATACCCACTTACATTAAGTGGTTTCTCCTTATTTGACTTACCCAGACCTGACCTGACCTGACCTGCTTTAACTTTATGATCAACTTAAATCTGTTCGTTTCTTTTGTGAGCCCCTTCAAAATTTTTCCTAGAAGATCTGATACCTTGTTAAGTCCTCTTTTGTACTATTAATCTCCTTATTCTTCCTTTGACGTGACTTGTCGTGATCTGCCCTGATTTAACTTGACTTATCCAGACATGACCCGACCTAACTTGACCAGACTTCTGATATTTTGTCAAGTCCTCTTTTGTACTATTCTTCTTTTGATTTGTGACTTGGCCTGACTTATCTAGTCCTTCCAAAATTTTTCCCAGAAGAACCGATACCTTGTTACTAAGTTGTGGCTTGTCCTGATCTGGCCTGACTTGGCTTATCCAGACCTGACCCGACCTAAGTTGACCTGACTTTATCTGACCCAATTTAGCCTTAAATTCGCCCGTTTTTTTGTGAGAATTTTTCTCAGAAGATCTTCTCTTCAAATCTGGTCCTAATGGTTTTTGTCTAATTCTACTATCATTTCTGACACTACTGTTATATCTCTTCTACTTCTCCTTCGGTTTTTGATCATCTGGGACCTAGACGTCAATTCCGTTAAGTTCCCAAATCTTAGTCGTTTCGGTGGACCACTGGAAATCTAATGGAAGGTTCTTCCAGACACTGCCCACATACCACCCCACACTCGACCGTCACCCTTGACCCCCCGATCTTTCCAGGTCCAGCTCCCCGACGGCACCATGGAAAAACGCCAGAAGCAACCCCTCAACATCGACCCCGGAGTGCATTCTAGTCTGAACCTGGACCAGCTGGCGCCAGGCACCCCCATCACGCCCATCCCCACCGTGCCCACCCTGCCCACCATCGCCGAAGTCAAAGTCCAGGAGCAGAGCGGCAGCTCCGGTTCGCCCAGTCCCGGCGAAAGCTCCGCCGAGATCCGCCCCCAGATCAAGAACCCGCGCCTCGACGAGCTGAAGCAGCAGGACGGAAGGGTGAAGAGGGAGATCGGGACCAGCAAGGAGGCGCCGGCGGCGCCGGTGTCCACGGCCTCGGACTTCAACGCCGCCTCCAAGATACACAGGAACGCCAGCCAGCCGGCCTTCAGCACACACGTCCAGGGTCTGCCAAAGAACGGATCCGTGCCCACGTTCGACAGGATTAGGAAGACGTCGGTCGGGGAGAAGTTCAAGCCCACGTTGGGACCGATCAAGTCGTCGTCGAGGGCCACGCTCAGCTCGAACGGGGATATGAGGAAGCTTAGGAATAATTCCAATTCGTCGTTTATCAGCAGGAATAATAATAGCGAGGTGAGTTGAATTAAGCTTTTGATGGGGGGTATTAAGAGATATTGGGTGTTAAGAGGGACACGGAAACAGGTGATGCTGCTGGTGGCTATTTACGTTAGCAGTGAGATAAAAGCTTTATTAGTAGAGTAGAGGAACGAGGCGTTAACCGAGTTGTGTAATCACGCGAGTATCTTTATCTACGACTTCAGGTTCTGATTTATTTTATGAGATGAGTGATGTAATTTAACTTATCTCTCCCTCTCTCTCTCCCGTTTAGGATAAAGTAAGATAAACTAGATGAATATGGTAAGCTGCAATTAACGCACTAGTGAGTCTTGTAACTTTATTACCCACTTCAAATGGGCGACATTTTTGCTAAAGTCACAATAAAAAATGCATTTTATCTTTGCAATCAATCTACTTTTTCGAGATAAATTTTAAGTTTAATTGATAATTTTGCCTCTTGTAAACACTTGTATCTGTTATTTTAAACGCGTCTAGAGATAATAAGCCATCTATTGTAATTTCGTCATATTTTTCCTAAAAAAAGCGACAAAGGGGGCAAAAAGTCGAAAAAAAAACAAACAAAGGGTCACAAAAAATACAACAAAAGAAGGTGACAAAAATGGACTTAAAAAAGTGACAAAAGAAACAATAGAAAAAGGCACAAAATAACTGCGACAATAAAATGTAGTAAAAAAACACAAAAAGGGACAAAAATGGGAAACTTAGGCGATAAACAAACGATGAAAAACTGGGAAAAAAGCTACAACAGAAAGACGACAAGAAAAAGACTCACAAAAATGGAGTAAAAAGCCAAAAGGAAGGCAATTAAAAAATGATAAAAAGGGCACTAAAGAGAAAAAATAAAAATGCGATAAAAATGAGGTCAAAAAACAATTCAAAGGGACAAAAAAGGAACAGAAGAAAATATGGTGAAAAAATAGAATTAAAAACGGGCCAAAAAAATAAAGTCCCGATTAAAAAATATGACAAAAAAAGATGAAAAATTGTTACAAACAACTACACAAAAGAAGAGGATTGCAAAAAAAAACGCCATAAAAAATAGCGATAGAAAAAAGCGACACAAAAAACGGCAACAAAAAAAAAATTAAAAAGGCCACACAAAAACATGAAAAGACGACTATAAACAGGAGGAAAAAGGGAACAAAAAAACGACAAAAAACGTGACAAGACACGCTATAAAAACCTATTTTAATTAGAGAAGCCAAAAAAATGCGACAAAAGGGGCTAAAAATTAAAAAAAGACGGCAAAAAATAGGCCACATAAAAAACAACAAAAAAAAGGTAACCAAAAAAATGTAAAAAAGTGACAAAAGACGCGATAAAAAAGGCACTAAATAACAGCGACAAAAAAATGTAATACAAAAGGGGACAGAAAAAGAGAAAAAAAGGCGATAAAGAAAAAACGATGAAAGACTGGAAGAAAAAAGTCAAAAAAAAGACAACAAGAAAAAAGAGTCGCAAAAATGGAGTAAAAAAAGCCAAAAGGAAGGCGATTAAAAAAGAGGGCAAAACAAAAAAAAAGCGATAAAAGAATGGTGATAATAACACAAAAAGTGAAAAAAAAATTAAAAAAAGGGCATAAAAGGGAAAAAATAAACGCCAAAAAAAAACAAAACCGCGACAAAATGCTATAAAAATTATATAAAAAAAGGCAAAAAAGGAAAGAGGAAAATGTGGCGAAAAAAAGGGGATAAAAAAGGGGACAAAAAATAAAGGACGATGAAAAAAATGACAAAAAATGGTGACAAAAAACGATAAAAAAATTGTTACACAGAACAACACAAAAGAGAGCGGCAAAGGATTGCATAAAAAATAGTGATGAAAAAAGCGGAAAAAATGGCAACAAAAAAAAGATGAACAAAGAACGGGATGAAGAAGACGATAAAATGATGACAACAAAAAAAGTGGAAAAGGCGTCACAAAAAACTGAAAAGAGAAGACGATAAACAGCAAAGAGCGATAAAAAACGCAATAAAAGAAAGCAAAAAAAGGCGACATAGGGGGAAAAAAGTAAAAAAAAGACGTCAAAAAAAAAAGGATAACAAAAAATACAGTTAAAAAAAGTGACAAAAGAAACGAATGAAAACGCAACAGATAACTGCGACAAAAAAATGTGAAAAAAAAAGAACAGGATAAAATGGGACAAAAAAAGGGAAAAATAAGGTGATAAAGAAAAAACGATGGAAAGTGGGAAAAAAAGCCACAAAAAAAAGACAAGAAAAAGTCTCAAAAATGGAGTAAACAAAAATAAGAGAAAGGCGATTAAAGCGCGAGTAAACACAAAAAGCAAAAAACTTATTAAAAGGGCAAAAATAAATGCAAAAAAAGAAAAAAACGCGACAAAATGCGATAAAAATGAGGTTAAAAAAAACAATTAAAAAGGGCAAAAAAGGAGCAGAAGAAAATATGGCGAAAAAACAGAATAAACAAGGTGATAAAAAAATAATGGGTCGATTAAAAAAGACGACAAAAATTGATGACAAAAAACGATGAAAAAAATTAATACAAAAAAACAACACAAAAAAAAGAGCGAAAAAGGATTACATTAAAATGCCATAAAAATAGCGATAGAAAAGAGCGACACAAAAAACGGGAACAAAAAAAAGATTAACAAAAAACGGGATGAAGAATACGACAAAAATTGTGATAATAAAAAAGGGTGAAAAAGGCGACACGAAAAAATAACAAGACACGCTACAAAAAGCAATAAAAAAGCTAAAAAAAGGGACAAAAGTGGCAAAAGTCGAAAAAAAGATGTCAAAAAAATATAACAAAAAAAAGGGGCAAACAAAAGTAGTATAAAAAACTAAAGAAACGATAAAAATGCACCAAATAATTGCGAGAAAAACATGTAGTAAAAAAACAAAAAAAGAGGACAAAAGGGAACCAAAAAAAGGTAAAATAAGGCGATACAGAAAAAACAATGAAAAATGGAAGAAAAAAATCAAAAAAAGACGACAAGAAAAAGTTACAAAAGAATGGTAAAAAAGAACCCAAAAGAAATGGTGATAACTACACAAAAAAAGTGAAAAAAAGCATAGAAGGGCAAAAAGAAACGCAAAAAAAAGACAAAAAACGCGATAAAATGCTATAAAAATGAGATAAAAAAAAACAATTAAAAAGGGACAAAAAATGAAAGAAGAAAATGTGGTGAAAATTGAGAGAATAAACAAGAGGACAAAAAAATAAAGGACGATAAAAAAATGGTGACAAAAAACGATAAAAAAATTGTTACACAGAACAACACAAAAGAGAGCGGCAAAGGATTGTATAAAAAATAGTGATAAAAAAAACGGAAAAAATGGCGACAAAAAAAGATGAACAAAGAACGGGATGAAGAAGACGATAAAATTAAGACAATAAAAAAAGTGGAAAAGGCATCACAAAAAGTGAAAAGAAGACGTTTAACAGCAAAAAGCGATAAAAAACGCTATAAAAGAAAGCAAAAAACAGACGTCAAAAAAAAGGATAACAAAAAATACAACAAAACAAAGGTAACAAAAAATGCAGTAAAAAAAGTGATAAAAGAAACGAATAAAAACGCAACACATAACTGCGACAAAAAAAATGTGAAAAAAAAGCAAAAAAAAGGACAAAATGGGACAAAAAAGGGAAAAATATGGTGATAAAGAAAAAACGATGGAAACTGAGAAAAACCAAAAAAGACGACGAGAAAAAGTCACAAAAATGGAGTAAAAAAACCAAGAGAAAGGCGAGGGCGGGGAACAAAAAGTGAAAAATTTATAAAAAGGGCAAAAATAAATGCAAAAAAAGACAAAAACGCGACACAATGCGATAAAAATGAGGCTAACAAAAACAATTAAAAAGGGCAAAAAAAGGAACAGAAGAAAATATGGTGAAAAAACAGAATAAAGAAGGTGATAAAAAAATAATGGGTCGATTCAAGAAGACAACAAAAATTGGTGAAAAATGCCATAAAAATAGCGATAGAAAAAAGCGACACAAAAAAGGGCAACAAAAAAAAAGATGAACAAAAAACGGGATGAAGAAGACGATAAAAATTGTGATAACAAAAAGGATGAAAAAGGTAACACCAAAAAATGACAAGACACGCTACAAAAAGCAATAAAAAAGCTCAAAAAAGGCGACAAAGGGGGCAAAAGTCTAAAAAAAAGATGCCAAAAAAATATAACAAAAAAAAGGACAAACAAAAATGTAGTATAAAAAACAAAAGAAACGATAAAAATGCACCAAATCATTGCGAGAAAAACATGTAGTAAAAAAACAAAAAAAGAGGACAAAAGGGTACCAAAAAAAAGGTAAAATAAGGCGATCAAGAAAAAACTATGAAAAATGAGAGAAAAAAGTCAAAAAAAGACATGAAAAAAGTAAAAAAAATAAATAAAAAAGAAGCCAAAAGAAACGCGATTAAAAAGGGGGACAACCAAAAAAATGCGAAACACCAAATGGTGATAATTACACAAAAAAAGTGAAAAAAAGGGCTTTAAAGGACAAAAAGAAACAGAAAGAACAGAAGACAAAAAACGCGATAAAAATGAGGTCAAAAAAACGATTAAAAAAGACGACAAAGAACGATGAAAAATTGTTACAAAGAACAAACAAAGTGATGACAACAAAAAAGTGAAAATAAGACTATAAACAGGGCGTAAAAAAGGACAAGCAAACGCCAAAAAAGTGACAAGACACGCTACAAACAGCGATAAAAAAAGCAATAAAAAAGCCAAAAAAAAGGGCGACAAGAGGGCAAAAAAGTCGAAAAAAAGAAGACGTCAAAAAAGGGCCACAAAAATTCAACAAAAAATGTAGTAAAAAAAAGTGACAAAAGAAACGATAGAAAAAGCACTAAATAACTGCGACCAAAATATGTAGTGAAAAAAAAAACAAAAAAAGGAGACAATAAGGCGATTAAAAAAAAATTGAAAAACTGGAAAAAAAATGCCAAAAGAAAGGCGATTAAAAAGGCAGCGAAAACAAAAAAAATATGATAAAAAATGGTGACAACACAAAAAAGT